CTGTACTTACATCCCTACAATAAGCACTTGAATCAGGTGATGGATAGGTGACAATGAAGGACAATTGGACTCCTCATTCCCTCTCTTACTGCTAAAGTACTTTCCTCCTGGTCAAGCAGCCCATCCTCAAAACAACAACCTGCCAGGTTTCACAGCAGTTCCATTCCTTTCCCTTCAGGCTATGTGAGAACCCATCCTGCTCCAAGCTTTCAAGGCTGATAAAATTAAACAATTAAGGCAAACTCTTTAATTTCACAACACATGGACAGACTTTGACATAGTTTCATCTGGGGAACTGTGACGATCCTAGACTAAGCTAAGTTCAAAAATTGGTACAGAAGCCTGGTACCAGGGGTGAAATTCATCAGGTTCTGACAGGTACTAGAGAACCAGTAGCGGAAATTTTGAGTAATTCATAGAACCAGCAAATACCACCTCTGGCTGGCCCCAGAGTGGGGTGGAAATGAAGATTTTGCACTATCCTTCCTCCAGGAATAGGGAGGGAATGGGGATTTTGCAGTATCCTTCCCCTGCCATACCCACCAAGTGGAACTACCATCACAAAACCGCAGTAATTTTTTTTTTAATTTCACCATTGCCTCGTACTCTGACAAATTGGCCATCAATGGTCACATAGACGTAAACTTTATCTACATACCATTCAAAAAACGACAATCAATAAGCCAAAAACAATGGTGGAAGATCAAAACACCTCCCCCCCCCACTAGTAATCAACACCCAGATGAGCAGAGATAAATGCCAAGGTTAACATCAGACCAATAAACAAGAAGTAAATAATATCCCAATCAAGGAACTAATGAATAAGCTAACAGTAAACAGACCTATGAAAAAACCTCCAAGACCGTTCCTCCTAAACTGATAGGGCAAGTCACTAAAATATAGAACAAGAGCAGACCCCACTCTCTTCCAGCACTGATGATGTTATCTAGTTTGGGTAATGGAAAGAAAACAATCTAGGCATAAATCTTTAAGACTCAGTGGTTGGAAATGAAACTTGGGAGACTGGCAAGGCAAAATTGATCACAGTTCTTGTTTCCTTTAAGCAGACCATGACTTTTCTACTACACTCTGGATATAGGTCTATTTGCCAGTCTCTTGGGAAAAGTTCAGCTGGTCCCTATCTTGTCCAGTTGTCAAAGAACAGTTTAAGATCCTGTTCAGCTAGGCAGGATAACAACTGCTCCCGGACCCATCTACTTTTTAATTGAATTTTGTTTTAAATATTTAAGCAACATACTTTTTTATTGTAGTTTATTTTATTGAATTGTTTTTCAGTTTTTGCTTTTGTATACTGTTCTGGGACGTTCCCCATTCTTCATGGGAGAAAGAGCCATGTAGTAATAAAATAAACAAAAGTATTTACCTAAGATATTACCTTCTGACAAGAAAAAGCATGGAAATACACACAAACATTCACAGAGTGTTAACATTTGGTGTACCTGTGCATTTACTGCTCAATATCTTAATCCCCCAGAAAGCAATTTTCTCAGGAAATGCCAATAGTTACAAGGTACAAACTTCATCCAGGAAGCAGTTTCTTTACATACATTTCAACATCTATCTGCTTAAAAATTTCCACATTCAAAGAATTGGTCACACTAGGACCCACTCAGGTGACACCCACCATCCCCATGACTCTTTATCAAGCCAGGAGGGGCATGGATCTAGAGGGCCAGTGACTGAGTTCACAGTCCTATGTTTATTGCTGAATTACTGCAAAATCTCAATTACTGTCCAAAAGCCATGGCATTATGGTGTACCAACATTATGGTGCCTGGAAGGATGGAACATGTTCAGAAAATTCATACTTTGGAAAAGTAGATTCTAGCGCAATCACAGCATAGCATCAGTTAAAGAAAAATTAAGAATCTTGAAGTTAGTTTACTGCGTGCACTAGATCATGGTTACAAACGTCTCCAATGCATAACCTCCTCATTAGAAAAGAATTCGGTATCAGGTCCGATATTCTAAGGCAGTGGGTCTCAACCTTCCTAATGTCGCGACCTTTTAATACAGTTCCTCATGTGGTGACCCACAACCATAAAATTATTTTATGTTTTCCGTATTTTTTTGAAAATATGTGTTTTCCGATGGTCTTAGGCGACCCCTGTGAAAAGGTCATGTGACCCCCAAAGGGGTCACGACCCACAGGTTGAGAACCGCTGTTCTAAGGAGTAACAAATCCTCCATATACCATTTATTCAAAGTGCAAAATAATATAGGTAGAAGCTAAATAAAGAAATAGCCAAAGACCCCTAAAAATAGTCATTTTCTGCCTCTTCAGGATTGTCCACATAAACTAGTAGTTTTCTCAATGATTTTCCTTACTCTTAAAAAGCGTTGTTCATTTTCAGTTATTCTAAATGTATTTAAATGCCATCCATACATCCTGTTTGACTGTGATTTTATCCATTTATTGAGGGCAACATTTCCTTTGAGTTGAACTCAACTCTTTGTAACACAAAAAATGTTTCACGAGAGCTGTGTTGACTCTGTTTCTTTAAGAAATCATTTCTAATAAAGAATTAGACTTTTGGACAAAGACATTATCTTGGGAATAATATGCCCTCATAGATATTACCACACCACTTGCTCATTTAGCTTTTGAGAAATAAATATCTTGCTCTGGTAGAGAACATTGAGGACATGTTAAGCTTGGAGTCTGTTCCCTTTGGATGATAACACTACATTTTGTTGTTCTCATGCTTATTTTTGCTTAGAGTCAAGCAATGGGTGGGTTTCCATTTTTTTTACTACCAGTTTTCTCATGCGCTCATGTGCATACGCAGAAGCATCCAGGCAGTGCACGGAGTCTCCCGCTGCCGCCACTACTGGTTCGCCCAATGCAGGCTAAACCATTAGAAATTCACCTCTGGAGTGAATTAATATAGAAATATTATTAATAAAAATATAAATATATTCATATTATCAAGATCTAATAATGAGAAATAGTTTATTATTAAAATAAACAAATTTGTATTGGCAAAGTTTCTGAATCAAAATGCTATTCATCATTTTTATGGTATATATTGAGTACATTCTGCCAAGGAATCCTCTCATCTTAATATATACAGTGTATCTATCTATCTATCTATCTATCTATCTATCTATCTATCTATCTATCTATCTATCTATCTATCTATCTATCTATCTAAAAATGATTGCAGGCACCTAGAGGCATATGTTTTATTCATTTAAAATGATATATAACTTGATTAATTCTCAGGACAATGTCATCAATCATTCTCTGACAAGCACCTCATACTGCTGAGGAAATGCTATTGTACTTTTCCCCCTTGTTTCTATTTTTTTGGAGAATAATTTAACTCCTTACATATATATATATTGAACACAACTTTTGCATTTAACACACAGAGAGGATAAGTTTAGACTGGGAGTGGTTTTTTTGTCCTCAAGTCTTAACAGCTGAACCTTAAGACATGTTAACATTATGTGTGACTGGCTATTCTGTGATCTCATTTGGTTTGTTCTTCATTTTATCCTTCTGCAACATGAGTTTTCTGCTCTGGTCTCGGCCTATTATGGGGATACCACACGTGGCATTTGTGTCAGTAGGGAATTTCTTCAGCAAATTTTCAACACAGAAACACTTAACTTCCAGTTCTACTGTAGCATTAATTAAAACACTGATGATAGTTTTTCAGAATTAACATTACAGCTTGAGGCAGCTGTTTCCCATCCTGCCTCCAGGATCCTCGTCTCTCCCCTCTACTCTAGATTATGCGGTTTCTAGAACATATAAAACAGGGGTGTCAAACTCAAGGCCCACAGGCCAGATCTTGCACATAGGGTGCTTAGATTTGGCCTTTGGATACAGTAAAGGATTGGCCATGGTGCCTCTGCCAGTGAAAATGGAGTTCAGGAGGGCCACCCATAGGCCTCCTGGGGTCCATTTCTGGTCATGATGGCCTCCTGCAGCCCTGTGCTAGTGAAAACGGGAGCTTGGGAAGGCCATATGCGGCCCTCCCTGACTCAGCTTTTACTGGCAGAGGGCTGCAGGAGGCCACTGTGGCGGAAATGGAGCCTTGATGAGTGACGTTGAGCTGGCCAACCCAGACCATGCCTACCTGCCCCCCCCCCCACGAGGTCAAACGCAACTCTGATGCAGCCCTCAGTGAAATTGAGTTTGACACCCCTGGTATAAGATAACTAATGGCACAGCACAGGGACAGTGATTGGTGTCTTAAATTGTTTGTGACTTTCTTATGTTATATATGCCTGCCTATATAAAAATATAAATTAGGTAATGTGTTGTGCTTAAAAGATTGGAATTGAACAGAGGCTGGGGTCAGCTCTGAAATTTTTTTTAAAAGAATCCAAGCCCCTTTCATAAGAAAAGGAAGGAAAATGTTATGATTTCAAATTTTGGAAATTAAAGACCAGTACCACTACAACAGAGGAGCTATGAACTGATTAATAGCACTGCTAAATTAGAGCTATTAAAATATGCAAAAAAATAAAATAAATCCCTTGGTTAGAATTTATGTAATGGTTTTTAATTCTTCTACTCAGTCTTGAATTAAAGCATAATAAAACACCTATACTTTTTCTTTCTCAGCATGTTTCTATGTATGTGATTTTACTTAATGCAGATAGAAAGATGTATTGGAGAGATTTAATTACCCTATTGAATGAAACATTCGGGAAATTTTAATTTTAAAATTTGTGTCAGTAGGGAATTTCTTCAGCAAATTTTCAACACAGAAACACTTAACTTCCAGTTCTACTGTAGCATTAATTTTAAAAAGGCATATTCTCCTTCTCTTGATCTTATGACAGTTGAGGAAATACTCTAAATGGGAGCCTTCCAAGACCTCTTATTGGGAGGTCAACCACTGGTTTGCACTTGTTCAAATTCTGCCATTTCTCTTAAAGCTGTGGCTTGTCTTATATGTTTTACATTCATTACTTTACATTAATTTTCTCTAGACAAAATAAAGTGTTGTACTACATTGCAGCCTCACTGTTAGGAATGAAGATAGAGGGGACAGCACAGGAAGACCGACACACACTAGCAAACTGGAGAGTATCCAGGTCATCGAAGAGTGGTAAGTTTTTCAATTGTATTGTCTGGGGAAAGTGCTGAGGTTCATTTCTACTTGTTTAGCGACTATATTCCAATTCAGTTTTTAAATAAAATGGTCATAAGTGAACACATGACACACACATACACACACACACACACACACACACACAGAGGATGAAAGGAGGAAGAGGAAGGAAATGGGGGGGAGGGAAGGAGGGAGGAGGGAGTAGGAAGGGAAAGGGAGGGAAAGAAGCAGGGGGGGGGGGGAGAGAAAGAGAGAGATGCTAGGGAGATCCCAAGTTGCTGTTGTCTCATTTAGATAAAGTTATCTCAATTTTATCTTAAGGAGACACAAGCAACCTGGGATTATGTCCTATGGCTGACCTGTTTATTCACCTTTTCTGTCCCCTCAAAAGTGGGAGAGCTGGCTTACATCAACTGCAGTCTCACTTCCTGAGCTACTTTTCTCCATGGCAAAGTGTTTTCTTAAGAAATGCTAATGGGAAGTTAACAAGCTTGTCTGGTGCACCAATTGCGGCCCTATTTGGATCGGGAGGCACTTCAAACGGTTACTCACGCCTTTGTCACCTCAAGGCTGGATTATTGCAACGCGCTCTACATGGGGCTACCCTTGAAAAGCACTTGGAGACTGCAGCTAGTCCAGAATGCAGCCGCGCGAGTGATATTGGGTGCACCGAGGTACACCCACGTTACACCTGTCCTCCGCGAGCTGCACTGGCTACCAATTGGTCTCCGGACGCAATTCAAGGTGTTGGTTATCACCTTTAAAGCCCTACATGACTTAGGGCCAGAGTACCTTCGAGACCGCCTACTGCCACATACCTCCCAGCGGCCAGTAAGATCCCACAGATTGGGCCTCCTTCAGATGCCGTCAGCCAGACAGTGTCGGCTGGCAGGCCCCCGGAGGAGAGCCTTCTCTGTGGCTGCTCTGACTCTTTAGAATCAGCTACCCCCAGATATCCGGACCATAACCACTCTCATGGCCTTCAGGAAAGCTGTAAAAACTTGGCTGTTCTGGCAGGCCTCGGGCTGTTGATCTCACTGTTGAGGTCCAACCCCGATTAGAATGAATGTATGAGGTGTGGCTATTTTAAACCATTTTCTTTCGTTATGTGTTCGTTATGTGTCTTTTTTTTCTCTCTTTATTTTTGTAAGCCGCCTGGAGTCCTTCGGGATTGGGCAGAATATAAATGTGGTTAATTAAATTAAATTAAGCTGAGCTCTGTGACCTTAATTAGTTGATTAGAACATTCCTGCCTTCCACTGCTGCCTGAAACTGATAAGGCCTTAATCAGTTTTACACTGAAGGCTCTTGTTGTCATTAATGGACACACTGGTTAGAAAATGATTTTTTATTACTGTTTATTACCATCTATTTGCAAATAGTCACTACCTAAAGTAGTTGCTAAATGAGGAGTGGCTGTATGCCTTATCTGATCTTAAATCCACAGAGATTTTTCTATGCATGTGCATAAATAAGAAAAGCTCATATAAAATTGCCTTATGTAACTGAAATGCCCCAAACCAAAATAAGCTTTTTTCCCATAACAATGAAAAAGCAATTAAGGCATAGAAGAGAACATATATACTTTCCATACATACAATTATATATGATTGTTTGTATATAGCTTACTTTAAAATAGCCAATAAGAATGGAGGAAGTGTCTAAAATTCAGAGATTTTATTTAATGGAACTTACGAGTTTTTCAGGTGAGATTTTGGGAAGGCAGGAAGCATTTGTATTACTCTTGTAGTAAAACAAAAGTGTCAATATTTTCTCCTCATATAGAGAATTGCTCATCATTTCCTCCATTAAATTATAACAATTCTCATTTTGGTGCATTTACTCCTAATTTGTGTTTATGGGCATAATTCTGAAATATTTAACAATATTAATATCCCGGTGATGCATTTTTCAATCGTAGGTGCTTTTTTTTAAAGCCACTTTTCTTAAAGTGGAATTGTTCTCTGTTTACAATTTTCATTCCTAGTTTTCTCTGGCTTTGTTCTCTATCACAGTGCCATCTTGTGGTCAAAGTATGTTTCTGTAATACTGTGTCTAATTTCAAAGCAGTTCCCTGTTATCTACTGCCAAGGATTCATTTTTTGATCCTTTATAGTATTTGGATAATGTATGTCTCCACACAAATAGATGGTAATATACCAGGGGTGGGTTGCTGCCAGTTTTATTACCAGTTCACAACCCACGTGCAATGCGCGCTGCATGCAAGTGCGCTGTTCAATGTAAATTGTTCTTCGTGCCCAGAACAATTTACCGTTAACTGCCCATGTGCGACTAAAAACCAAAATGGCAGCGGCCCAGTGGCGGCAAGGGAACCAGGGACATGGCAGGCCTGGGTCTCTGCCGGTTCTGCAACCCACGCCTGATTTCCACTACATGTTCAGCCGAATCGGGAGCAACCCACCTCTGTAATATAATTTTCAAATGCATTCATACATATGTCAGAAGTCCTGATGTAAGTGTGTGCATGGGTGCATGTGCACATGTGTGTGTAAAGCCCCAAATCAAGCTTGATGCATCCTTGCTATTTTCTTGACAGCAATAAGAAACTGATTCTCCCATGCCTCCTTTCAGGTTATTCTAACTTCTCAGTTTAAGTTACATGCCTGTAATTCCATTGTAAGCTCTCATCCAAGTATGAACCAGAGTCAACCTCGTTTAGTTTCTAAATCCAAACAAAAGTTAGGCAATTATTGCCACCTACTACTGTGAGACATTTTTTATAGACTGCATATCACAGCATAAATTACTAACTAAAGGAGAAGGGGATGTCAGAGACAGTTAGATAATATCATCAACACAATGAACATGAATTTAGGCAAATTTTGAGAGACAGTGGAGGACACGGGGCGCTGGGCTGGCATGCTATGGTCCATGGTGTCTCAAAGAGTCAGACACAACTTAGCGACTGAACAACAATTCTGTCTTCTTTATTGCCAGTTTATCAGGAGAGTTACCATATTTTTCGGAGTATAAGATACACCTTTTTTTCCTCTAAAAAGAGACTGAAAATCTGTGTCTTATACATCGAATACAGCATTTTTTTGCCTCCTGAAGCCCCCCCCCCTTCACCAAAATGGCTGTACATAGCCTTATGGAGGCTTTCAGACAGCTCTTGGGGGCTGGGGAGGGCAGAAATGAGCAAAAAATGGGCCATTTTTGCCTTCCCCCCCAGTCCCCAGCAGCACTCTATAAGCCTCCATAAGGCTATGCATGCAATTCTTTTGACCAAAAAATGGCCCGGTTTTGCGAAAAACGGGCCATTTTTTGCTCATTTTTGCCCCCCACCCCCCCAGGAGCATTCTGCAAGCCCCCCTCCCCAAGGCTATTCATGCCTTTTTTTCGAAAGAAATGGGCCCGCTTTCATGAAAAACAGGTCTTTTGGGGAAGTTTGCAGAGTGCAAAACCTTTTTCCCCGGAAAGCTGTTTAGTTAGAGTGATTGATGAGAATTACATTGGTCAAGTGCTGTCCCAGCAGAAACAAACTTTTAGGTGCTACAGGTCAGTGATTTCCTTCTCCAGCACATGGATAAATACACCTGGAAACATCTACCTACCTATTACTCTCTCTCTCCCCTACCTACCTACTGTATTTTTCTCTCTCCCTCTACCTACCTACCTTATATATCTACCTACCTACTCTCTCTCTCCCCCTACCTTTCTACTGTATTTCTCTCTCTCTATTTTTCTCTCTCTATCCCTCTACCTACCAACCTACCTACTCTCTCTCTCCCTACCTACCTAACTACTGTATTTATATATATATATATATATATGTATATATATCTCCCTTTATCTATCTACCTACCTAACTACTCTCTCTCTCTCTCTCTCTCTCTCTCTCTCTCTCTCTCTCTCCCTCCTTCCCTCCCTCCCTCCCTACTGTATTTCTCTCTCTTTCTCTCACTCTCTATTCCTCTATCTACCTTCCTACTTTTTAAAAAAAATGCCTCTTCAAAACCTGGGTGTGTCATACTCCGGTGCGTCTTATACTCCAAAAAATACAATATTTGAGCTTCAAGTTTTTTTCTTAGAATGTTTTAAAAGTTAAAAAAAAGATTTGCATCTTGTTATATAGATATTTTGCACACAGTTTTCCTAATGTATATAAACATCGATTTTTGAAATATTTATTTAAAAACACACAAAGTGTCCCGCTTGTCCTTTGACACTTCAATTCTGCAAAGAAAAACTTTAAAAATGCTTTAAAAAACTTTAAAACTTTAAACTATTTATAAAAGATATATCTGCAGCATCCATTTGCATACTTTTGGAAATATTTTTTTGAACAGATTTTTGATCTGGGAATCATAAAGCCAGTAAGCTATTTTATGTGATGCATAAAAGCATCCAAGTTCAGAAACTCATCAGGGAATAATAAATAATAGTGTGCTTTGATGTCACTATACCATTATAAAGTCTGATAGGAACAAAGCATACAAATTTGCTCCCAATAGAATAAATAATACTTGTTTTATATATCTTTTAAGTTCACCTGTCCCTATTAATTGATCTGTGATATTTTTTAATTCCAATAATTCCACTGCTAACCAAGGATAGCAATAATTGGCCAATAGGTGCCAATAAACAGAATAAACCGTACATTATTTAAAGATTTGCAATCTATATTTGGATTATAAAATTGATTTTAAAAACATGAAATCCATAAGTATATAAAAGTATATAATGAATATTATCAAACATAGAGTAAAAATAATGCCCATCATCAATCTTTCTACTTCTTTTAATTATAAAAGCTATATTTTCTCCCTAAATAAAAGGAAGATGTTTTATTTTTCATTAAAAGCCAAGATAAACAGATCAAAGCAGAGGGACACATTAAAAGATATTTGTTACAAAAACAATGACTGAAGCATTTAGCATTAAGGAATTTCTCATCATTCCATCATGAATTCAATTGGAAATTAATCCAGGACTTTCTTGGTCACAGTAGTAGATCTCTCTCAGGACAAATGGTAGCTGGAAAGGATCAGTGAGTCTATAAACCACACAATATGAACTAAGCCGTAAGTTGCATAGATATGATTTATAGACTGGGTACAACTTTTCGAGTTGTCTTGAACCACACATTGGTTTTTTCTTCACTGTTTCCATTATGGGTATTAAAGCTAATCTGAATAGGGTTTCAGGTGCCTGTGCACAATAATGTTTTAAGTTAGTATTCCAAGCATAGCCTAAAATGCTTAATTTGAGGATGAAGTGGTGGCTCTCTTCCTGTTTTGTCTTCTGTATTCTGGAAACATTTACAATTTTTCACCTCAAAAGAAATACATGCTAATTGAGTATCATTCAAGCCAGTAAGACTAAATAAAGAGAAGCATGGGAATGCTGGGGTCAATATAAAAAAGAAGCATTGCATGTTAAAAATTCATTATCTAACAAGCATTTTTGATAGCTCACTGGGATTTCTCTTTCCATTGTTATTTTCCTTCCTTCCTTCCTCTGCCAACTCTTTCTACCATGTATTCTTGCTGAAAAAAAGTAAAAGGCAACCCACGAGGCCAAAACATTATCCATTCCAAGCAGCCTTATAATGTTTCATTGGTGCATTCTTGAAAGAGAATTTGTGATTACACTTGAACATTGATGCCAATGCAGGAGCAATTTCACTGATTAGATGCAAATTTATTTTGGTGGGCTTTGACTCATAATTCACAGCATGTGGAGCATCTTTCCTGCGCAGTCTATTATTTTTTAATCCAGTTGGAAGAAAGAGAAATCACTTTCAGAGCCTCTTCAAAAAAAAGTTAGAAGGTGGTTCAGGTATGAGTCCTGCATTTCACTGTAAAGTCTTCCAGTGCTGTTTTTTGACTCCCTGTGTCTATTAAATTCCAAAGAAATACATTAGCAGGTGTCTTGTGTTTTTGGCAGTCAGGCATGTTGCGAAGTGGTGGAAAACTAGCTAATAAGAAGTAAAAACAACAATAATCAGTACCGACATATTCTACTGCCTTACAACAATAAAGTAAACTCAAAAATGCAACTATAAGAAATTTAAGGATAGTGAGGTATAGTGGTGAAGACATTGGACTGGCAACAGAGAAATCTAGAGTCTTATGCAGAAGTGGGGAATGATGGCCCTTTTATGACTTGTGGACTTCAACTCCCAGAATTCCTGAGCAAGCAACAGTGGCTCAGGAATTCTGGGAGTTGAAGTCCATAAGTCATAAAAAGGCCATGATTCCCCACCTCTGGTCTAGTGCATTCTCAGCCACAGAAATTCTGAGAATGACTTTGGGCCAGCCACCATCGCACTTAGCCCAATCTATCTTTCACAGGGTGATTCTTGTGGGGAAAAATTAGGAAGAAGGAATGCTTCGAAGGTCTTGAGTTCCTGAACAAGAGGCAGTGAGATGCTTCACAATAAACATTTGGTTGGAAAAGATACTTTGGGGAAATTCGAAGACATTTCAGGCTAGTTTTATTATTATTAAACAAAATCCAATGGAAAATAAAATACATTCAGTGAGGTTGTAGACTACACAGAGTGGCCCAGGAGATATGAATTCTATCTAGAGAAACAAGCTAGTTGTAACTGGCTTAAACAATATGGCTTCTTCAGGTGTCAGGGTTCAACGCTATGCCTACTTCATTGGGGTAAATCCCATTAAACACTATAAGACCAGCTGCAAATCAAACCACTGTATGGCAATATTTATATTTTTCTGACACTTTGGGGTGTTGTCTTTGTGATTGCTATTTTTTTACAGCCAAAATCCCACCGCTGATGAAATTCTATCCTGGGCTCAGAATTTTGACAAGATGATGAAAACACCAGCCGGTAGAAATATTTTCAGAGAATTTCTCCGAACAGAATATAGCGAAGAGAACCTCCTATTCTGGTTAGCATGTGAAGACCTGAAAAAAGAACAGAACAAGGATGCTATTGAAGAAAAAGCCAGACTTATATATGAAGACTACATCTCTATACTATCGCCAAAAGAGGTACTCTTTTACCAAAGAATATTGGATATTCACAAGGCTCTGTTTGCATGTACAGTATAATACATTTAGAATATTTCTCACCACCAGAAATCTCTGTCAGAAAATGTTACCATATGATGGATAGTAGGGGGTGGTATAATGAATAAATTGTTGGGATAATCCTAGATGTTAAGATAAATTCTAATCTACCTTCAGCCATGGTAGCATGTTTGTATGTTTGTGCGTGTGTGTTTGTGTTCATGTATGTGTGTTTGTGTCTGTGTATTTATATTTAAATTGTATTAAATTGCAATGGATCCAGAATTTCCATGAGCAAAACTCCGAAGTAAGGATAAGGGATTTTCAGTTAATCCTTCCTCCATCTGCCTCCATCCCCAGAAAACATGACTTCTCATCCTTCCATTTCTTCCAACAGGAGGCATTCTTGATTTTTTTCTACACGTGACAAGAAATTCTGGATCCAAAAAATTCAGATGGATTTATTCTATAGTAAAAGTATTTAGGAGTGCATGCTTACATTTTTAACATAATTTCCTCTCAAATTCATTAAGAAACTACTTTGTTCTTTGTTTATTGTAGCATAGCATTAATTACTTACATTTATGTCTCTAGAGATTGTCAATCATCCAAGTTATTGTTATCCCAGAGATGCTTTTCCAAAAGGCAACTTGATTGGGGGTTTTTTCTTTGAAAAGATTTCACTTGTCATCCAAGAATCTTCTTGTTAGAACTGAAGAAGTTTCTTGGATGAGAAGTAAAACACTTTCAAAGAAAAAAAACAAGAAAGTCCAGTTCCCTTTGGGAAAAGCACCTTTGGGATACTTATGTTAACATTAAACATCCGTAGCAAATTTAACTTTCACATTTCAGAATCCTTGTTTTCAAATGAATATTAGTGTATTGTTTCAGTTATGATTTCAGTGAAATTTTTAAAACCTAAAGTATGGTATTTGGTACCAAGGCAAATCTAAACATTTTCCCAATTAAAGATTCGATGGTAATTTGATTTTAGTGCCAATATGGTTTCTACATGTGTCCTGGACCTAAAGAATATTATATTTAACATCAGTGTTGTAATGACATTAGACTAAGGCAAATATCTCTAGTCCAGACAAGTTAAATTTATAGATTTAATTTTGGTTTCATTGATTTGATGACACCCTGAGGAATACATATGGCATACCAGTGGTAATTGGGTTTGTGAAGATAATTCTTTATAGGTAAAGTCCCAGTAAGTCCAGTTGTACTTAATCTAAAAATATGCTGATTGATCTGCATAAGTTCTTCAAGGTGAACATTTCATTGTCTTTTCCTCTCCTCCTTAGGTTAGCTTAGATTCACGGGTGCGAGAAGTGATCAACAGAAATTTGTTGAACCCCAACTCTCACATGTATGAAGATGCTCAACTTCAAATCTACACATTAATGCACAGAGACTCTTTTCCTAGGTTTTTGAACTCTCAGATCTATAAATCTCTTCTCGAAAGTACAAGGAGTTCTACTTCTGAGACTTAAAAATAATTTGGGGGTTTGAAATCTTGATTTAGCTCTTGGGGAATGGGTGGGGTAAGGACTATTAGGATGAAGACAGACGTAAAATTTTTAAAGCAACAGGGCTGCTCTGGAAGCACCTTCACTGCATTTAGTCCAAAATGTACCCTTCCCCTCCAGAGTCAAGCTCTGGAAAAACCCGGTACTGCCCCTTGCAGCAGAAGCCAGCTGTGCATGGTGCTGATTTGCTGAAGCCCCACCCTCATGATGTCACTAAGAAACCTCCCCTGCAATAGCTGGAACAATTTTGCACTTTAAGAAGAGTTTCCTTTTTAAATGGAGAAAGCAGGAAATGAACAGACAAATAGTCTAACGTTCATCTGGCCTTTTGTTTTGGGTGGACAGGGGTAGAGAAAGTGACAAGACTGGGAAGCGTGCAAGTTTTTCAATTGATTGTTCTTCATGGCTGCCATTTCAGCTGCCACTTCTGATGGAAAGATGGGCTCAACCAGAGCTGAGGGATGAACTGAAAGCTCTCTTTTTATATTACATCTGTCTTCACCTTAGTAGTTCAATTACACCTGGAACTGAGTTCCTGGAGAACTACAGTTTGGCATGACTCTGGCTACTGTGAAGACAACAAATACTCACAAAGGTCTTTGTCTACATTTATCAAGGTCTATCATTCTTGATTTTGGAAGGGAGGGAAAGTAGATTTGCCAAATCATACTTATTCAAATACTTTTACACCTGCAGTTAAGATTACAATGATGTTCTTGTCGTTTTAATAAAGAGTTACCTGTATATCCTTACACTCCATGTGCAAAGCAAAACTGCTTCACTTTATCACTTAGTTGTTGCAATATTTAATCCAACAACATAAATTATATCTATATTTAAGAACATTGTGTGCAATATGGTCTTATGGTACACACATAAGGATTATTGGAGTGAACCAGAAAACAACCTGACTTGGGTTTAGTAATGTTGTTCCCTATGTTCTGTGGAGAAAAACCCATTGCTATGTAAGACAGACAACATTTCTATGTAAGAAAAAGAGCAAGAGGTGAATGTTATTTATCATCATTTATTTAAAATTCAAAACAGAGGATTCCTCTGGTTATTGACTGCCAGAATTGTGGTACTTTCATTACAGAAATGTCAAAACTGACAATAAACATCAAAGCACAAGCTACATGAAAGAAATCAAATGGAGAGACACAGTCTATAAGCTGACATTGTTTATAATTGTTATAAAAACAGATAATCAATGTACATTTCAGATGTCAGATACTGTAATGGATTTATTAAAGACTGGCTATCCAGTTATCTAAAATTGTCGTGTAATGTTATGTAATTTGTAAAAGGAAAGAAACAAAACAAAACAAAACTCTTCCATTCACAGAATCAAGTCTAGAAAAATTTATGGTTTTAATTTAAAAGATAATTTTTGAAAAATGCATAAATGTAGCATTTTGGTCAGCATTGGAGACTAGCATTTGTCTATACATTTGCTTTTCTTAAACGTTCTGTCCTGTGAAAAGGAAAATTTATACTTTTAAAGGAAAAGCTACGGAAGAATATCTTCTGGCATTCCTAATTTGAAAGGGTTCATTTATGGGCCAGTATTATGGAGATTTAATAAATATTAAATTCAAACCTACTGGTCCCAAAATAGTGGCAACAATTGTTCTTTTTTTCTTTTTAAAATAAACATACTTTCTAAGAACTAGTAAAAATGAAGACAGTATGGGGTCCTGTGTTTACCTTAAATTGAATTTGCCAGGATTAATTCTTTGCACAAGCCATCCTATAATGAATGTGGATTTAGCCAAGAATTGTTTTTTTCTTGTGAAATTCCCATTTACTTCAAATGTGCAATTGAAAAGTCCCTTGGAGATCCTTTCCTTTGCTGCTAGTTCAGTTTTGTAAGTAGCTACCTGAATTTTATTTCATTTTTAATCCTAATTTCCCTAAGTGCTTGCTTGCATCTTTAAAAAGAAATAGGAAATTTCTAAACAAAACAACCAAAAGGAAAAACCCTTGTCTTAGAACCTGTTCATTTTAATATTCAGTCTTGAGATTTTCTTTGAAGAATTGTTAAGGTGCCACAAAACAGATACCTATTGAAGGTATTATTGTGAACTCTAGATTTGATGCTTGGGGACATTCTATAAACTGATTCTTCTCCCTGAAGTTAACTTCTTGTTGCAGTCCATAATGAAGATATGGTGTTAAACAAATAGAATCAAGTTATTTAATATTAGCTGTTTGTCTGCAAATTATTCCCGAGTTAATCTACATCTTAATGTGGATGTATTCGCTAAGCATGTTGAGTCTCATTCCTTGAAGGAGAATTTTTGCTGGAGCAAAGTTGTGGATTTTGCCCTCTGAGGTTGCAGTGGCCAAAAGAACATAATGTATAGATGACATTAAACACTGGATTGTTCATTCTAGTCCTAAACGACTGTGTCAGCAGTGTCCCTTCTCCCACATGCTTGCATAATACTGGAATCTCTTGATCATCTAGTGTCCTTAGAGCTATATTTCTCCAGTGTAAGTCCTTCCTTGCTAGTAATTATGCCATTCATTTATTTTGGAAGGGACTCAATTCTTTTTATCTTTCACTACCTCTTCATATTTAATTTATTGAACATGTGTCAAGGGGCAGAAGTATGTGTGGTTGGGAATATACCTATTACTTTACTTACAATACTTGAAATCTGTAAGCTTAAGAGGCATGGTGGGGAGATATGGACAATTTAGCTAACCATTTCTTAAGGTCTTTTGGTTTTGTAATTTATACAGAATTCAGGAGACAAGACTTTTGTAAAAAAAAAAAAAGGGCTATTCTTTATTCCCTATGCAACTCTTTTAACTGTTGTAGTGTTTAACGAAATGGGATTTTAAAAAAAGGCAAAAAAAAAAGTCAGAGAAAATTCTGCAAAGCAGAAAAAAAATAAAAGGTCTGTTTACACTGGCGTTTGCTGACTATCCTACCATACTCAGCACTTTTAAATATTGTTGTGTATGAAAATGTAGTTTAAAATGCAAGACAAATTATTTATAAAGGACATTCTTTTAATAAATGCCTGTTTTATCTGAAAAGTGTTATTGTGTTATGATATACTTTATTCATGTTGGTTATTAATTTACCATTATGAATAAATTTTAAAGGTATGTTGATAGAATCATATCTTCAAAGATGTTTACAAAAACAACCTTTTTTTCCTAAAGGAGAAGGTAGCAAGAAAAAAAAGCAAACAACTGCCTCCTCCTACTGTGAATTTCTCATAATGAAATAATTTAAGGCTCATTATCTGAAATAACTGTGGTATTACATATTTATAGCACCACAGTAAAAGTTACATTTCCTATGGGGTGTGTGTGTGTGTGTGTGTGTGTGTGTGTGTGTGTGTGTGTGTGCGTGTGTGTATACATACATACATACATACATACATACATACATACATACATACATACATACATACTGTCTGTACATATTTATATGACGTGGATTCTGGTTTGTTATGGTGTTTGAGATACAACTATCTCTGGTGCACACAACTAGGTCTATGTAATTAGAAAATATTGCATGTATTTAATATTGAGACTTCATATTTTCAATGTTACTATTTGAGGGTGACCTGTTAACCAGAAGCGATCTTTATAAGATACTTTTACTATAGTGAGGGAGATGTCAGTTTGACAGGACACCTTTCCTGAGGAACCTTAACCAAATAAAATCTGTGATTTTAGGTGCCAATAGCACCTAGAATTATGGTACTAGACTTCCTTGTATGAGTATTTTGGTCATGATATGGGAGATATCATTATGAATAAGATGTCACATTTGAACTGTTTTCAAAATTACTAAGTATGTTGTTGCAGTGAGACTATGTTACCATAAGAGCCTAAATCCTGAATTTTGCTGGATTTAAAGGTTGGCCTATTGAGCACTCTGTATTTTATATATACTTTCTAGGAATGAATGTACATTTTAAATCCATCTGGCAAATAGATGTAGTCACCCACACCACATAACCCTTGGGTCATTTAAAGAGATACAAAAACAAAGGTGGTTGCTGATGTCAACTTTCTGCAACTAAGAGGAATAGCCAAATTTATCTCATTCCACTTTTGCATACCTCAGTTTTCAGTTCTCCGAAAGGAATATTGACAGTGTTTTAAATGACAACATAATCTCATTGCTCTCAGTCAATTTGCAACATATGAGCAGCCAATGATTACACTTCTAAAATGATTATTGTGCATGTACTATACAATACTTTTTAGTATAAATGAATTGCTTAATTATACTTACCACAGGCAGAAATAGACTGAAGATGTATTTACTTCTTGTTTTGGGATTTTAATGAGATCACAAATATATAAAATAAATATAATGCTTTTGATTAACAGATCATTGTGACTAAGTTATATGTACAAGTGGTCATGAAAATATCATTTAGGTCTCTCATTCATCCAAGTGAAGTTGATGATTCTACAGGCTATGACCCCATTGTCTTTTTTCCTGTCTTCTTGGTGGACTCTCAACCCCCCAAACAAGGTTTTCATGGACATTCCTTCATGGGAAGGGGAAAATTATGGTTTTAATAAAATTGGGGGGTAAGCTGTAACCTCCCTCCATACTGATGTCACTTCATATCATATTTCTTCTCTTACTAAATATTCATTCTATTGTTACTAGATAAATAAAAGTCCCATCAACTTTTCTATGGATATGGAGCAGGAATTGTTTTGTTTATTAATATCAATTAATTGAAGGTTTCCAATCTAATTTAATTATAAAATAAGGAAAAAGAAATGCCAAGTGTTAGTATCAATGATAAAATATAGTTGCCATATGACAACAAGACAGCAACAAACCTTTTTGTTGCTTATACAACAGTTAACATGTAGATGTTAATCCTTTAATGAATTCATGCTTTCAAGAAAGTTTTCAGTTTAGGTGAAAAATATGAATCTTTGCAAGAATTAAAAAGGGATACAGTTTAACAGGAACTAGAATGATGTGTGACTGGGTGATTGTTAAGCAAATAGTTTCTATATTGTTTTCATGAGAAGTCCATTGATATGTCCATGAAATTACCAGGAATCATATTCTATTTGGGTTCTGAAAATGAATGAAATCCTTTTAGAATGCATTCTTTCTTTGAACCACAATATCTATAGCAGTGATGTGGTATTGCAAGACAAGAGATTATACTGTTTTTGGAACATTCAATTTTTTGAGAGCAGGGGACGGGTAAATTTTCCTCTTTTTTTAGTTTTGTGTGTCATCCACACTCTTGTAGAAGAACTGCCATTGGGAAGGACTGCCCAGTCACAAGGCCAGTCACAAAAGTCTTTAAAACAGGGGTGTCCATCCTTGGAAACTTTTAAGACCTGTGGACTTCAAATCATGCTTCATGCTGTCTAGCAATTTCTGGGAAATGAAGTCCACAGGTCTTAAAGTTGCCAAGGTTGAACACCCCTGCTTTAGAAGGCAAACTGATGAAGCTGCTCTCCGTCAACTCTTCTTGTATAGCTTTACTTTTTTTCTGGTATATTTCCAAAAAATGCACTGGGCTGTAGATCTCACAGGCCTCCCATATGCCAGGTGTTTTGCTGTGCTCATCCCAGATTTCTGATCCTTTCTTGATTTTTTTTTCAATTAAAAGAATCTTATAATATTGAAATCAAGTGGATGAGGGAGTCTGAGGAATGTCAAGACAAATCTCTGCTGACGCCCCAACTGTCCCCGTGCCCTAGACCTAGGCTCACACACTGTAGAACAAGCTATTTGAGCCAATGTGTTTCCAAGAAGACCAAATGTTGCTACTTCAATTTAATTTAATGGGACAAAAGCGGGAAAATTCTGAATGTAAAAGTACCTTTTGAGACAAGTTCAATTCCTTCTTACTTCACAGTCAGACTTCTTCTGTCCCATTCAATTAAATGGAAGTACCAGGATTTGGTCTTGTTAGGAGGGAATAGCAGTGGACTTATATACCGCTTCATAGGCCTTTCAGGCCTCTCTAAGCGGTTTACAGAGAGTCAGCATATTGCCCCCAACAATCTGGGTCCTCATTTTACCCACCTCAGAAGGATGGAAGGCTGAGTCAACCCTGAGCCGGTGAGATTTGAACCGCTGACCTGCTGATCTAGCAGTAGCCTGCAGTGCTGCATTTAACCACTGCGCCACCTTGGCTCAGTGGAATACAAAAGGGGCTTTCCCTCTCTTCTTTCTCACTGCCCACATTATGCAAAGAAAGTTCATTTTAATGTATGGCAATTATTGTACATTCAAAGTGATAATGAAGTTGTCTCACACTAAAATTCCTAGATCTCTCACACAAGTACTAACTGGAATCCACCCTATTTAATTTCCAAGTACAAATTAAATCTATCTATCTATATCTATCTAGCTATCTAGCTATCCTATATTGCCAAAAGTATTCGCTCACAACTGAGTCTGATTATGTGGATGGGTGAGCGAATACTTTTGGCAATTAGTCTGTCTATCTATCTATCTATCTATCTATCTATCTATCTATCTATCTATCTATCTATCTATCTATCTATCTATCAATCATCTATCATCTGTTTATTTGATGGCCCTCTCATAGTTGGAGACAACTCTTTAAATCCAACTTAGTTTTTATTTATTGAATATTTATTCTGCCTTTTGTACATGAGCTTCAGAGGTGGGATGCTATTGGTTTGCACTGGTTCGGGCAAACTGGGTGTGAAAACTGGGACTGGGTTGGTGAACCGTAGAGATGACAGGCTGGCCACACCCCCGAACCGTTCCCAGGTTGTCTAACATATTTTTACTCCGTTTTTAATGTTCAGAGCATGCGCAGAAGAATTTGCAGGCAACTGTGCACATGTGCAGAGCGAACGGGCAGTAATGCCGGCAGCAACCCACCCCTGATGAGCTTATTTTGGCATTGGTAATGCCCTCTCCTACTGTTTGTTCCTACAGCAATAATCCTAGGAGATAGGCTATCTTGAGAGAGATGGCTGGCCTAACATCACCTAGTGATCTTCTGTGGCTGAGAGTATGAATCCTGTCCATTTAGGCAGCAATCCTTCTAGCATCCAAGAGACCTATCCTAAGGACCACAAACCCAAAAAGATTTTTTTGTGGTTGGAGACACATCTCCAGTCTTGAGTATCAGAAACTATCCCTGTCTACAGCCCCCTAAATAACAATGGGGAGATAAAAAGATTAAGAAGATTAAAACAATTGCCTGGTATATTTCAGTGATTCCTTCCTTTTGAAAGAATTTTTTCAAGTTCATTCCTGGTTTCTTTTAACTGGGCTTCTCCATTCAAGGAAAATTCTAAACAAGCTAGTGAGAGGGCACAAATTATTTCCAATGATTCTATTTCTTGCAATTACCTCTTGGGGGAGAAACATGACTTCCTAGGAGGGAATTAGAAATAACTCTCCACAGAGATTTTCACTTGCTGGTCTGTAAACAACAGAGCACTTGTTTTCCTCGGGAGCTCTGATACTGAGCCTTTCTTGAAATTACTCTGTAAATATTTACTGACCGAATTAGAAATCCAAATTACTTTATATACAGCATATAATCTGCTCCCATGGGGATTAAACAAACTCAGAGTTCCCTATAGTGCATCAGAAAGAAATGGGTTATTAAACTAGTCTTCTTTAAATTTCTCTAAACCAATGGTAAATTCATACATGAAGCTTGTTTAAATTGTTAATATAAAAGGGAGTGGTATAATCGGATTTATTTGTTCCAACTGAGTAGAGTTTAAGATTACCTAACAGAGATGTACAGATAACAACACTCCAAGTACAAGCAAGTTTTAATCTTCACATTTAGGTTAAAGACAATGCACTCTTATCGCACTTTCTCCAAAATAAATATGTCCTGACAGATGTTTTTGCAAAGAAAAAGCCATGCGTTTGGGAGAACTACTCAGAAAAAAAACCTTGCATCCTAGATTCCGCAAACATCTGTTTCATACTTAAATGGGATAAACAATGCAAGGCCCTTGTGTTATCCCTCAGCTCAGCAGCAGACTACCAAACAAATGCTGTTTGATTTCCCTCAGATTTTCAGCAGGAAATGAAAGTGTTACATTGAAGTTTTAAGGCTCTTCCTCATATCCTGGTAGGGTGCCCTACTCCCACCCTTGAGACAGGAGGAAAAAAGAAAATTATTTTACCGGGCCTGGAAAAAATACTCAGCAAACTTGCTTCCCTCACATGAAGGCCGTTGGTTTCTGTACAATTGTTGAGAAAATGGGTAGAAAAGGGGACAGTCAAATCTAGCAATAGTAATGCTGGCCTTGTGAAATATCTTCCATGAGGTCGATAAAAAAGGAAGGAAAATATTGGCTGCTGGACAAGGCTGTTTTCTCTGATAGATGAGAAAGGAATGCTCACGTGATTGGATGAGAGGAGGCAGTCCTGTGGCAGGCCCACTAGAGCCACGCAGTTGCTCGACCTCCATTATATTCCCTTCCACACAAATCGAGAAGCTTCCAGAAAGGAAGGCTTGTTTCATTCAGTTGGAGAGCACTAGTTCTAAATTGCTGATAAAGCAGTATAGCAATTCAATATTTTTAAATATTTGAAACTAGGGCACTAAATATCTCGGAGCAGGGAAGCTAGAAATCACTACACACATGTTTCACAGGAAGATATATCATTTTTATTGAATGATTGAACCGAATTTAGTGGTCAGAGCATTATAACTAGATAAAGAAAAAAAATCATCCAGCCCACTGCAGTGAAACATGAAATAGGAAGATTCCGTTAGGGAATAGCATAGAATAACAGAGTTAGAAGGGACCTTGTAGGTCATCTCATCCAACCCCCTGCTCAAGCAGAAGACTCTATACAAGGAGTGTCAAACTTGCGCCCACAGGCCAAATGCATCATGTGCTGGCCATGCCCACATCCGGTTTAGTGACCGGGGGGGGGGGGGGAAGGTCACACTGTCACGTGACAATGCCGGGGAATTCAAGTTTGACACTCCTGCCCTATACTATTTCTGACAGGCAGTAGTCCAG